GGTCCGTTGTTAATATAACTATGACCACCTAAAGTCTTGGTTCATTGTTAACATAACTGTGACCATATAAAGTCTTGGTCCGTTGTTAATATAACTATGACCACCTAAAGTCTTGGTTCATTGTTAACATAACTGTGACCATATAAAGTCTTGGTCCGTTGTTAATATAACTGTGACCACCTAAAGTCTTGGTCCATTATTAACATAACTGTGACCATCTAAAGTCTTGGTCCATTATTAATATAACTGTGACCATCTAAAGTCTTGGTCCATTGTTAATATAACTGTGACCATCTAAAGTCTTGGCCCGTTGTTAATATAACTGTGACCATATAAAGTCTTGGTCCATTATTAATATAACTGTGACCATTTAAAGTATTGGTCCATTATTAACATAACTGTGACCATCTCTTGGAGATTTTGATTTACTTATGTCCTTGTAACACCTTGAGCAATATACATATATGATAGATGTTTTCGGTTCTACTTGGTATTTTGAGATTTGTTAAAGTTGTGTCTTTTGTTTTACTGATGGTCTACTTTACCCTGAATTCTCCAGTTGCAATAATTTTTTTCATTACTTTTTCCACTTTTTAGTTGTTTTTTTTTCAGTTTTGGGGAATTGGAATTTTAAACCTGGAAGGCACATAAGCTAAACGACCAGGTATTTGATCCGTGAGTTTTAGTTTTGAAATATTGGTCAGGAGGGTAGCCACACAGGCTATGTTCGAATCTCTGAACCAAATAACGGGATTTTCTGGAACGTGTTCCATGACTAAGCCATGCCCTGTACATAAACACTTCTTGATATAATCTTATTTAGACTTAACCTTTAACAGAATAAAAATACACGATGTTTATGATTAATGAAGTTTAGAAAACAGTTTGAAAAACACCATTAACATTCAGAACTTCATATGGCAGTTAACCTGTAGTTTTCTTTTCTGTTTTGTTTTTGTTATACAATCTGTTGTTTCATTCAAAGTTGATTGATTGACAGGTATTGTTCACGTGTTCGTGATACAATGGTAAAAAATGCATTTTTTTTTACGGTAATCACTAGTGGTGCTGGATTGTAATAGAGATTAAAGATTTTGTTTGTTTTAAATGCAAAACTGTTTAATAGGCTATTTACACTGTGCCAACCACATATATAAGCCACAAGCTTACCATTGAGTCACCCGGGTGTAGCATGAGAGAATTTGACATTTTATTAACATTCGTTAACAGATCTACTTGTATGACATATGCATGGATACGTATATTATAGTAATTAAAGCTTTGTAGTTTTATAACTTTTAACCATTGGCGTAGCCAGGGGGGATGTGCCCCCCTAGCTCGCTATAAAACTCATTTAACCAATGTAAAGGAAATAATAAAGTATAAATATTACAAAAATAAATAGAAATTATATGCAAATATGAATGTTAAGACTTGCCCCTCCCCTTTTCAAATTCCTAGATACGCCACTGCTTCTAACATGGTATGAAAATTCATTGTTTAATTTATGTAGAGTATATTGGTGTATAATAGACATTTTAATACTAGAAATAGACAAGTTTATAACACCACACGTTTTTCGTTAATTGGACACTCAACGTTCGCTTTACAAGCTTCATCAGGAGCGTTCCACTAAAGCACAAATCGTAACTGACAATACAAATCTTCAAAAGTTACTGTTTGTGTTTTAGTCGAACGTTCCAGGAGAAGCTGTAAAGCGAAACGTTGAGTGTCCAACTAAAGAAAAAAAAACAATTTGGTGTTATAATGTCGTCTGTTTCTAGTATGGTATAAAAATAATAAGCTAGTAACTTTGACACGCGTTAAAGACTGGGAATTGTAAAGCAGTGTGTTAACACATTAGTTTCAGTGTGCTTTATAAAACAATGGGGAATCGTCTGCAATACGATTTGTAAAGAGAGAAAAAACTGATAGAAAAATGTGTTATTTTAAATTGCCTTTTTTATTTTATTTTTATCTCGGTGATATCGCTTCTGAATTTTTGATGTTTCATTTTACAACGTGAACAACCATCTGTTTCATGTTGGGGAGTTGTTTTGTAAAGCACGAGAAAGGAATTCGGGCGGAGAAAAAAGATAGAGTGGGGGGGGGGGGAGAAATACATGTACAGTTTGCGAGGTTTGAGACACATGTTTTATCCTGGATTGAAAAAGCAGAGTAGGTAGTTTGGTGAGGGAATGTAGTGATTTTGAACCAATATTTAAAGTTTTGGTGTAATATTTTTATATTCCACGTTTTAATAGAGTCACTGGAATAGTTTGTCATCTTTTATGTAGTTTATTTGGTGACATAATATTTCTAATGTAGCTTAAACGTTTGCGTATTTTACAAAAGTATTTTCTTTTATTTTTTTTAACCATGTTTCGGTTTTTTTGGGCGCAACAGGTTCTGATAAGTACTGTACACATTTTTCCTGTTTAACATGTATCAGTTATTATTATTAATGTTGGTTAAAATAAAAATAGCGTGTAAAAATATTGGGGCTATGTTGTCATTGTCTATTAAGTAAGACTGCTGTTGGCTTCGAACGTGGTCGGTCTCTCATGACCTGATGGATAAGATGATTAGTTGCGGGATCGAAACTCATCGCCGAACATGTTTACGCTTTCAGCCGTGCATGGGGGCGTATAATTCAAAGGTCAAATCCACTATTCGTTGGTATAGAGTAGTCCAAGAGTTGGCGGTGGGTGATGTTGACTAGGTGCCTTCACTCTAGTCTATGACTTCAAAATTAGAGACGGCTAGCGCAGAGCCCTCGAGTAGTTTTGCGTGAAGTTCAACAAACAAAATTGAACGGGATCTTTAAAATGATAGTTAGAAATCCTCCGAGTTATATCTCAACGGAGCTCTTCTAGATGTCGTTTCATCAGCTAAATTCTTTGGAATTACTTACGATTCTAAATTAACCTGGATTGTT